CTAAACCCTAAACCCCAAAAGGGCTAAGAACTCCCCCTGGTGGCAGGTCCTGGCGCAGAAGCTGACGCACTTCGGCGCCTCCCTGAAGGACTCGGCGGCCGCCTTTGAGAATGTAGGGGCCGAAGGGTTTAGGGTTTAGGGTTTAGGGTTTATACCATTTCGGGGGTTCCTTGTTGTGAAACTAGCATAATAGGGCTACCATTTTGTTTGGGTTCTTTATTATAGATGTGGTATAATGGGGCCCCCGAAACCCTGTTCTACTTATTGGGACCGCTACATTATGTCATGTCTCCTCGTTGTTTCTTGGGCCCAGAGACTCCAATACCCCTTAATTAAGGAATATACCTTAACTCATATCAGGGATCCTACTATAATTTAAGGTATATTCCTTAATTAAGGGATATTGGAGTCTCTGGGGGGGGGAGGGGGTATTCGAGATGGGGTTCGAAAAAAAAGGACGACTGCGTTTGAAGGGGCAGTCGTCTTGTTCAGGTAGCTTCAAGCCACAGACCCCCGATAAAATCAAGAGACTAAAGGAGGGACCCTTAAAGGGACCCTTTGGATTATATAGGGGCTTTATGAGACTGTATAAGGGGTATATAAGGGGTTATATAGGGTGTTTGGATTAGGGGTCCCTCCTATTGTCCCTTAATCTTCAGGCCGCCGAACCCAAACCCTGAAACCTTAAACCGTAACTGACAGCTTTTGGCTTGAGCCTAGCACTTTTGGACAGCCGTCTAGTGCTTGCTAGCGAGAAGTCTGTGCCTAAACGTGACGCTCGGCTGTTTGATGAATGTTCGATAGAATAGCCGCCAGTGACTAGTGGTTTTGAGCTGAGTCACTGCCAGCTGACCCCTGGACCACCAACCCTAAACGTGTCGGCAAAGAACACGGAAACTTATAGCAGTCAGGTTTGTCAGGAAAGTACAACCGCAAAGCACCACAATCATCATAGCAACGGCAGCGGTCCCGTTCCGGAACCTTTACGATCTTACACCTGCATAGAAGCAGAAGCCCTAAGAACAAGACTGGGGCGTGTGGATTACTCACACGTACACTCCCTGCACCTTGACATCCCTGCACTCGCCCCCTCGTGGTAACTGTTACTTCTACACATGTGAATGTATGTTCCGTAAGTGCAACAAGCAAAAGTATATAGATATGGATAACAATTACATATAGATACAAGCACAAGTATGTAAGTATACATTATATATACATACACACTTTTTTTGTGTGTGTGTGTGTAACATACATGCACGTAATGGTGGACAAAGTATACGCGTGAGATCAGGATCTCCCGCATCTAGAGATGGTGCGACTCCTCGAGAACCTCTCCGTCTATGACCTGCGAATGCGCCTTTGTGGCAGTAACGTGGCACAGCCGTCCTTCAAACCCTGGGCCATAAACCTTTAAACCTTGAGCCCTAAACCCTGAACCCTAAACCTTGAGCCCTAAACCCTGAACCCTAAACCCTGAACCCTAAACCCTGAACCCTAAACCCTGAACCCTAAACCCCAAACAAGAGGTGCCATCAAAAAAACCAATGAGCGGTGAAGCGTCAACGCTAAAGCATGGCAACCCTGGAGCTCCGAAATCTCGACTTTGCAACTTACTATAGGGGCTTTAAGGATTACCTATACTATTTTGGGGGCTCCTTATTGAACTTATAGTAATATACCCCAAACTCCTACAACAGGCTTGTGGGGTTCCTTATTCGAATTACGGTAAAATGGGCCCCAAAGCCCTATTCTAATTAGTAAGGCGCCTATACATTGGATATTCTTTACAGGATTTTGGGTCTAGGGCCGTAAGGACTTAACCCTAAACCCTAAACCCTAAATGAGGCGTAGGCTCTCAAGATGTCGAAAGGATTTCTGCTTTGAGGCATGTGGGCTTCACGGGCCAAACAGAGGGTTTAGGGTTTGGGGTTTAGGATTTACAGTAACTCTCTCAACAACAGTACAGTACAGTGTAAAGCTGTCATCTGCTTTTTCCTTGCTTTGCGTCTTCGCGTTTAGGAATAATGTAATATTCTAAACCCTAAACCCTCAACCCTAAACCCTAAACCGTACTGTAATGTTCTGGGGCGTTGAGAGGCCGCCGCGAGTTCCACAGGATGCAGATCCTTCGATGTCTGAGCTAGTTGAACTGATCAGATGCGCGCAAAACTCAGTGGGAATATAGGGGGTTTAGGGTTTATATAGGGGGTTTAGGGGGTTTAGGGTTTAGGGTTTAGGGTTTAGGGCTGTGGGTTCAGGGCCCGACAGGTGGGCACCTTACAGCACGGAAAGTTTCAACCACCGTAGTTTCACCCCACCATCGCGTGACGGCGCCATGAATCCGTAAGCCCCAAATTCTGAAGCCCAAAAGGTCTGAGAGCTTGTGATGATGCTGTAGGGCCTTTCTTCACTTTCTTTGCGCACTCTCCACCCCCCCTTGGCCAAATCAAACGTCCCGGAACGCAAGGGTTCGCCGGGTTCTGGCAAACCGCATCAAATCCAGGTGGCGGCATTTCTAACAATGGCAAGTTACGAAGGCGGAGCCCCAAGCCCCAAACTCCGAAGCTCAGCCCACCTTGCAACCCCGACCTCATCCAAGCAGCTCGAAACCTGAAATCTGTATGGCCTCTCGAAACTTGTTACTTGTAGCCCATAATGTAGGGGCCTTAAATATTAGAATAGAGTGTTTTTGGGGGTTCCTTATTGTGGTTCTAGTATAATATACCCCAACCCCTACTCTAATTATTAAAGCCCCTATATTACACTGACAATCCCGGAAGCCCCAAGCTGTTTGCTCCAAGACCTCTCCTCCTAGCCCCTAACCCCAGAGCCCTTCAAGCCAAGACCTAAAAACTAAAACCCCCAGCCCCCTGTTTAGGGTTTAGGGTTTAGGGTAGGGTTTAGGGTTTAGGGTTTAGGGTTTGGGGTTAGCGTCCTAAACAATATCGCGGTTTTCAATACTTAGTACTGGCATTCCTTCGGGTTCCCTATTGGATTGAATGTTTACTGTACCCAAAATTCGGTTCCAATTATTCAGGCGCCCGCCCCCCCTGCCCCCGCCCCCCGGCCCAACCAAAGGACCCACAATGTGATGACAGCGGTGGGCGCTGAGGCTTGGCAGTCGCATGGTCACTGCAAAGGGTTCCGAAGGCTTCATGCTCATAAGCAGGGTTTAAGGTTTGTTGGGGATGGGGATAGGTTGTTTTTTGGATTTGCGGGTCGCTCGGTTTAAAAGGTTGGGGCTTGGAGCTTTTTAGGAGTCTGGGGTTAGAGGTATAGGGCTTTTGGGAGTTGGGTTCGGGGCTGAGGGGTTGGATTTTGCAGGGCCTCTTCTGCTGGTGATCTGGGTCCCTAAACCCTAAACCCTGAACCCTAAACCTCGGGTGCTGAGACTCGAGCCGACGAACCCCTGTTGGCTCACAGAGGGTTCGTGGTGACCGGGTCACAGCTCGCGTGGGGGGATTTCCAGAGTCGGGGTATGGAAGGCACTCCGGTGAACTCCGACTCTGATGCTGAGCCTATGGCTCAAGCTGGCGAAGGCAACCCAGTAGTGATGGGTGCAGGTGAGGAGGAAACGGCAGAGCAAGCACAGTCGAGGACAGACGCGGCCAAAGAGAACCACAAGCCTCGGAAACAAGGGCAACGGCCCTCAGACAGGCCTAGTCTGGGAGAAGTGAATGCGAGTGGAGCAACCATTCAGGACATGGCCATGGCGTGGAGGCTAGGAACAGTGCAGCAAGGGGCAGCGCCAAATCCAGCGCTCAGAGAAATCTCGTGCGCCTGGCGTACCGACAAGGCCCCAATCACTCAGGCCATCCCGAGTGAAATCGAAGGACCAGTCCTTACGCTAAGGAAACCAGCACCGAATACTCAAATGAGCCAGGAAGCGGATGCTGTCCGCGTGCTCCTGAGAAAGCCACTGGTATTAGGGGAGACGCCAACCGAGCAGGTAGCAGCACTGCTTGCTCGTGATTCCCTTGCCAGAGTCTCGGAGACGGGAGTTGGCACGAGCATAAGCAACCTGGCAGCTTATGCACTGGCATTGTCAGAGGAGGCGAGAACATTTGAGGCAAAAGGACTCCCTTTCCCGGAAAGCCAAGACTACTCTTCGATGAGAGTACTGGGGGGGGGGGGGTGAACTTTCTCGAGTTTTGTAGCGGACCTCGGGGCTTCATTGAGCGTTGGCCTTCTGTGACGCCGGATTTCTTCAGGAGAGGGCAGCCACTGGCCTACACGCCACACCGACTCAAGCTCGCATGTCCAATTCCTCCAGCACTTTTCACCGGCAGGCAATTTCAGAACGTGGACCAGATCCTGGCATGCTGCGTCTACGTGATGAGCCTGGGTGGAGAGGTCAGGTGGACATTCGTGGGGGAAGACCCTCCATGGAGGACTGACCAAGCTGTGCTGGTGGGAGGAGACTGGGAAGGACAGAGAGTCGGAATTGTGCCACCTGACATGCTCACATGCATCGGATTTGAAGCAGTTGGGAGATGGCTTGAGGCAGCCGCACACCAGCAGGGGCAAAACACAACTCAGCAGTTCTTCAGGGCTGAGCTGACCGGAGGCTTTTCTCAGGAGGTGATGCTCACACCTCTGAGAAGGTTGGCTGAGTTCAGGAAGGTGACGTGGTCAGTGCAATTCCAGCCGTGCGAGCGGGAAGCCGCTCTGGAAATTGACCAGCCTGCTGAAGCCGAGTGGAGGGAGCTCCTCAACTGGGCCTACGGTCTCACGGATGCAAGGGGAAGACCGATTGGGCTACAACAGCTGGTTGCAAGGTCCTCACAGCACATCCCAGCAACGCTGAGCTGGCAAATTGCGAGATTGTGGCTTGTGGGCAACATAGCATGGTACCATTCTGGAAACGCATTGTGTCCAAATGACAACAACTTCGCGAGGGAATTCCTTGGCCACAATCCAGCAATGGCACGAATGGTTGACCCAGCCACAAGATGCATTCAGCAATGGCTGGTCCCGGTGTTTGAACTCGCTGACGAGCTGGTCAACATTTGGATGCAGTGGAATCCCGAAGCACGAAGGCAGCTTTGGACATGGGCATGTGGCCAACACACACCTGAGCCTGGAAACGGGTGTGTCACGGAGGACTACATGCTATGGACAGTCCTTGCCGAGGGAAGAGCACCTTGGTGGTTCCCACTTATCTGCCAAGGCGACAACGGGATACGCTGCGACATTGGGAATTTCACAGCAGGAGCAAGAAACAGGCACTGCGACAGTCGGGCATCAAGAGCCAAAATGTTGAGAAGATGCAGGTTCAGGGCACAGGGTGTCCCCAAGCCGTTCACGACCAAACCGCTCTTCAGGAGGAGGTTTGCGCCGAGATGGATGGCTAAGCCAGTTGGGATGTGTCCAATACATCCCTTCGTCACGTATACGGCCTGATGGTTGGATGGCTGGAGAGCCAAGAACCACCTGCTACATGGCTTCAGAGCCTGAACCTGTCTGAGCAGGGCAACCAGCTCGCATTCAGTATCCTCTGCTCAGACGTGGACAGAACGTGGGCGCAAATCAGAGCACCAGCCTGCTTCACAGTCCTTGGAACCAAGTACCCAGCGTACTGGGGCCTTGAGGACTGTCAGTCTTTGGCAGAAGCATGTGCCACAACATCGCTGATCTTGAAGAAGCAGTTGGCACTTCTGCGGGCAAGTTTGCCAACAGACTCGGTCCAGCCCTTTGGGGACGTTGGACAAGCAGGGGTGTTCGGGCCCTATCCGTTGAGCCCGGGCTTGGGGATCAGAACAAGGCCTTTCATCTTCTGCCTTGCGGCCACAGCTGTCGAGCGGCTGCCGGCATGGTTCTGAGTACATTGGGTGCAACTGGCGACCAAAAAGCAGGTGCCTTATGCCAAATTCGGCACGCCGCCAAGACTCGCACCAACAGATGCAAGACCAACGGTGAGTGCATACCAAATAATGGATCCACGATTCGAAGAACGAATCCCATGGGTAATGAACCCACCACAAACAGATGCAAGGAATCCAGAAGTCTATGCCAAGCCCTGGCATGTTCCGGGCAACTACATACCGCTTGACCAGACAGGCACGCTTGCAGACGAGGATCCGACTTGCAGGCCCTGGGTCGAAGTCGCGTTCAGGTACAAGCCAGGGATAAAAGTGGCACCAGTTCCCCCAGAGAACATCCCAGTGTACACAGTGGGCAATTTGTTCGAGAATGATGGCTTGATGAGCTTCACCACATTCATTGGGCAAACAACAACAGACCAGTGGGCGGCTCCAACAGTCCACCTCTCCGTTGATGTACCGGAGTTGCAAGTGTGGGCAGGGGCACAGCAAACACTGGCCGTAATGCCCAAGAGAGGACTTTTGAGAACAAGGACTCCAGCAACGTTCATTGCGGTCCCTTCCCAAGGAACGGACCAGAACAGACTGCTTGCCACATTCAGTGTGGTAATCCCCGAGAGGGCAGCAGAAGGAGTCGGACTGGACAGCGAGGTCGAGACGGTGCCCTTTACCCCAGCGCCAGTTGCAACGGCAGGAGTTGGCCTGGATGTTCCCCTGGAGCCGACCCACCTCGAGGACTATGACGAGATTTATGAGGCGTACAACTCTGGCAAGCTCACGTTGCAGGAGGTCAAGGACAAGTGGGGATGCTCGGTTGCGGACATGCTCCAGACACAGTGGGCTCTTCGTGCAAGTCTGCCGCCTACTCAGTGCGAAGGCGACAGCATCTCTCATGAGGAGTTCGGCATGGTCCTCCAGGAGTGGTCTACAGGGGGCATAGGGGATGCTGAAGTTGCAGGCCGCTATGGACAATCGGTGCTTGACCTCCTTCGTTCCGCTGTGGAGCTGGAGCGTGCAGGGATCTGGACCCAGGATCGTACGGAGGCTCCTCAGGCTACCAGTGTTGCTGGAGGCACGGCAGGGGCAGAACCTCAACCTGATCATGGCGGGGGACTGGGTGCAGAATGCGAAGGGTCTCTTGTGGTGACAGAGGGTCAGGCTGACGTGCTGAGTCCAGGTGCTAATTCCCCGGATGTGATTGTCGAGGTGTCGGACAGTGTCGTTGGTTTGCCGACCACAGACGATGCAGTGGTCTGAGGCTAAATGAGGAGATTGGTTGGTGAGTGTCTTTTCCCTGGGGGACGTAAAGTGGCCCTCAGTCCTGGCTCTGTCTGCCTTTCGAAGACCTTCGGGCTTTGGAAAAAGGAGCTCAAAAAAAAAA